GGCAGCGGAGCGGGGCACCCTCAGCAGCGGAAAGGCAGGCAGGGGAAAGGGCAGAAAACTTACTCGCCGGGGGGTTATTTCTATTTATTTTGTTAGGGACCGTGATTATTTTTGCCTAAAATATAGTTAAAAAAAAAAAAAAGCTACAAACTTTTTCGAAACTCCAGACGGGGCTGCAGGAACTCAGAGGTGTTCAGACAGCGGATTTTAGCTAGACCCATCCTAGCCGGTTCCTTACAGAAGGAGACGTCCTCGGCTGGGGCAGGAGCAGAGCTCTCTACGTTGCAGTCAAATTTAAGTGCTTGTGGCTGCCTCTTCACACACTGTGCGTCCGACGGGCTATCTGCTGGGTCTGTGTGCACACGGGGAGTGAATTTGCAGGGTATACGTCCGTGTGTGCCTGTGTGGCGTTTGTACACAGGTTTGCCTCTGCCCTTTATTTCCCATTGGAATCGCATCATCCTGATTTTGGGCTGCTTCCCCCAAATTCTGAACCATTTTTTTTCTCTCCGCTGTGCCAAAACACCTCCGCGCATTCGCAGCACCGGCGATTCGGTGATTTGCAGTGGCAGGAAACCCTGGGAAAAGGCGATCCTGAACTTCCCGTTCAGGAGAGATCGCCAGTGCCCGCGGATTCCTGCCCCGCGCCCGCGTACGCTCCGCGCCTCCGCGGAGCGTGGCTAAGGAAGGAGCGCTTGCATATGCCCCTCGCTTAAAAACCGACGGGGTCCTTCCTGCTCCAGCCGGGGGCAAGAGCTAGCGGAATGGGAGCTCTGCCGATTTGATTGTGCCAGGATGGAGGGCAGGGAGCATTTTTATTCAGGCACGATGGCTCCGGCGGTGCTTCATTCCTGGCAATTCCGGTTTCATATCGCAATTTGACGTGAACGTCTATTTCTGCCCTGTTTGGGGTCTTTTGCCTCCGAGGGTGTAAGCCACCAAAACCTTAAGTAATTTGCAACGCAAATCGTACGAAGCCCCACGAGCCTTCGTGGCTCCTATGCAAAATGTACTTTGGGGAAAAATGGGTCTAAAAGGACGAAAAGAGGGGCGAACGCTCCAGCGTTATTACCAGCAACGTGACCGCGTGAAAAATGTCTGTAATTATTTGCTGTATTTTATCTCTCGCTTTCTCTACGCTCTCTCTTGCCGCTTGGATGCCGGCAGTGAACAAATGCAGAATTTTTCAGGGAAATAAAAATGCAGGCGCGTTCTTTTACACATTATTATTGCTATTGTTATTAATTTGCTATTATTTTTGGTGGGGAACCAAAAAAATGAAACCCGCTGCAAGTTGAGAACCCAAATTCGAATATAAACATCCAGGACTCCTGCAGCTAAGATTATTTTTTCTGAATGGAAAAAGGAAGTTCTACAATCACATTTCACCACAGCTGACTCTTAATAATAAATACAAATGACGTCGAGTTCCGTCTTTCCAGGAAAGAAATACAATTATTTTTCTCTATTACGGCGTGTGTATACAATGACCACAGAAAAATAGCAGAGGAGAGCTTTATTTGCATTTTTTAAATTGTTAGAAAATAACGGGCTCCTTGTTTGTGGAGATCTTGCAACTGTTCTGTAATTTTCGAACTCTAATGGGGGATAATAGTTTCATTATGGGCCTTTGTAATCCGGAATGGGGGGAGAGAGCGTTGTTAAAATAGGATCTCTGTAAGATTTCGGATTAAACTGTTGGGAAGACATGAAAAGAAAAAGAGAGAAGGAGAGAGGGGGAGAGAGAGAGGGAGAGAGACAGCCCACATAGCGATGTAAAACTAATCAGATCCACACTTTCGCATGCACAATATTTACACGTGATTTTAATTATTACTCAGCCGTCCCTACCATTTGCTGGCTCTATTTTCAATAAAAGATATTTCGAGTAAATCGAGCCTCTCGCGGAGATTTTTTTGTCCCCCCTGCACCCCATTGACCGCGCTCCTTCGCCAGCCGCGGGGATAAACAGCGTGAGCGTCCGCCGGAGAAAAACCGGGGAGTCCCGGGCATATCTGCAAAGCGCTCAGCCACCACTTTAATTCCTAACACTGGACTTGGATCTGGCCGCCTCTTACTTTTCCCCCGCGCACCCTCCCCTCCTTCTGCGGAGGACTGTAGCCCTCCGCTCGGTTTCCGATGCCGCTAGCGTGTGTCCTGCAGTCAAAGGAGGTGCCAGCAAGTAATTAACTATATTTGCACATAAATTTGATTCACCAGAATGCGGGACGGCCGACTGCGAGCGCCCCTTTGATAGCCGCCCGGAGAAGCAGGGTGCCTTTCGGCAGCGGGGAGACGGGGCTTTTTCTCCCCTTTCCCCCCGCTGCTTCCCTCCATAGTCAAGAATTAATCGTCGCGATAAATACCGCCGCCCGGCTCTGCCCGCGCTCTTTCCCGCCCGGCCAGGACGGCGGCTCCGCTCCGCT